GCGACATAAGAAAGAAAAAACCAATCTTCGGCATTACGAGACGTCGCAGAGGCCTGAAGAACAATTTTTTGACAAAAATACCTTCCTCGATAAAATCACTTTCTTGGAACACCCAACAGTCCAACCGCGACTATAAAAAATACAAAACTTCTTGAGATACGTATCCTTCGCAAAGGTCTAAGAAACGGTTACATCTACCACCTAAGTTTGTTGCTGATCACAACAAACTCGCAACAGTCCTAAACCAACTTAAGTTATCTCACGGAGATATCTCCAATACACCCGACACAACGGTAATAGCGCTATAAAGAAATCAAAATTTTGGTCAGCACCTTCGGGGATGCTCGATTCCGACCAGACAAGTCATATAAGCCAAGAACATATCGCGGGCTTTAAATCGGTATGGAATCAGGTTAAAATCGCAACAGGCAAAACGAACGCCGATTAGTCATCGCAAAGCCTTAACCGAAAGTAAACCTATGTCTTACCCTAAACCCAACACAGTGGTCTCTAACGTCTCAAGGCATGTAATGAGATCCTAAAGGCATGTCTCTTCGTCCATATCTAAACGCTCACGAGATTCTAATCGTCCTAAAACGAGCAAACGAATAGGGCGATCTACTATCCTACCGCTTTCCATTCCAATGAGAGTGGGAAGACCACTTTCAACGGAATTTTTCAACCATAAATTACACTTAACTTGTCTAACTTGCCAAAAATTGTCTAACCACTCGCTAGAACCTCACGCTAGAAGCTCATGGTTCTAACAAGCTGGGGGGCTAACTGTTGGGGTCAAAATCGGTCACGACGGAATCAATGGCTAAAAGTTCTAGAAAAAGCATACAAGAAACTATAGACTTTCTACGAAGATACAAAATTAGGGAAAACTCGTATCAAAGTATGATATAGTTAAAAAAAACCTTGTTGCGGTTAAAATCGGTTACGACAGAATCAACGACCAAAACTTTCTGCAAAGTTAAGAATAGGTTTTAGAAATACAAAAAAGATTCGAGAAGAAACCTAAGGACTTTCCGAACAAAGGAATTCCGCAAACTTAACAATCGTAATCTTGGAAATCATCGGAAAATCGAATAAACTGTTCCGCGATCAAGGAAAACGAGAAACTATCAAAGACCGAACAACCGACCAGCTCGCCTGTTGGCGAGCTGAACAACCTTGTCCAGCTCGCCAACAGGCGACCTGGCCTTGCCCAACCAACTCGCCTATTGGCGAGCTGAACAACCTTGTCCAGCTCCCCAACAGGCGAGCTGGCCTTGCCTGACCAGCTCGCCTGTTCGCGAGCTGAACAACCTTGGCGAGCTGTCCGTGCTTGACTAGATCGCCTGTTTGCGAGCTGAACCAAACCATCCATGCTCCTCGAATCGATCGTACTCTGAACTGTGATTGAAACGTCTTTCGTTTCGTCTCGATCCATCGTACCGTTGGAGTTTTACGATAAAAAACCGTAAAAGGTTTGTTTTCTCGTAAAACCTCGAGTAAATCGTGTAAAACGGCAACGGTTAAACAATACACCGAACATTGCCAAACTATATGATTAACTCGAGATTTTTAATAAAAACAGCATCGTATAAGGAATCGATCTCACCTAAACTCTTAAAACGGCTAAATCGCAGAACGGCTCGGAAAGTCCTAAAACGCGATTAAGGCATACTCACAACTTTAGACAAGATCCAGCCCAAAGATATGATGACGGTTTACCCAGTACTCGCAGGAATGGATAAATGTCAAGTTTGAAGACAAAAAAGAAGTTTTCCAAAGAAGAATGGAAAGATGGCAGGAAGTTTTCTACACTCAAGAATCAAAGCTAAAGAAGTCTTAGTAACTGACACTACAAGAAAATACATGTATTGTGACGACATTTTTTGTCACAATATAAGATATTCTGTCACAATATAATCATTGTGACATATTTGTTACTATTTATAAACAGTTGCAATACCATCGTCACAAACATTCGTAGGTAGCAAAAAAGGTTACAAATATCGTGACTTACTTAATAGTAATGGTTTCATAACAAATTATGACGATGTACAGACGTAATAAAATGGTCACAATTACTGTACAAATTAACTCTGTCACGCTTTATTACTAAAAATTGCCCACAAATTCATATTGTTGAGCTACTGATTTCATATTTTTTTTATATATCGTAATTGTTTAATAAATTTTTGTTAGAATTTCATCTGAATAGGATGGTAATCATTCATCCTAATGTTAAAACTTTGATTCATTGATAGTTCTTTTGTTTAAAAAAACAAGAATGTTGACCCGGACAAAACTACAAGAATAAACAAATGATAAATAATTATAAACAAACTACAAGAGTAAACAATTATAAATAAAAAAATTTAAGAAACAAGATTGTTTTTTATTTAACAAGAATGTTTATCCTCATAACATCCTTGCTTTCGTGGATACCCACCGAGTGATGTGAGATTCGCCTTCAGTGAAGATGGACTCATGAAGGTGCTCCAAATCTCCTTTCATTCTTCTCAGATCCGCAAAATAATAACAAGGTGACGGACATTTGATACGCGGTGGTTCTAGTGGAAACTTGGATGATGACTAAGGTGGTGGCTGCTTCGTGTCTCCTTCAACGGCATACCAACTTAGAGGGAGATGAGAGGAGGTGACATGGTAAAAAAACGGCGGCTCCTCTTTTAATTTGCCGATGGCTAGTAGGGTTTGAACTATGTAGAAGGTGATGCCTCCATATATCTGTATATATATAGTACGATTAATAAATAAATGAGAAAGAAAAGGGAGAATTGCCAAAACCAACCCAAATATTCATTTAAACCCTAAAGGTGTACCCCATATTCAATCAATTGCAAACCCAACCTAAAGGGGTGTTAAAACTACTATTTAACCCTTATGAACAAACAAAAAACGTGGAATATATTTTACGATTTTGTCCTTCGTAGGTCTACACTTTAAGAAAGAAGTCTACAACTAGGTAGACTTACATTAACGTCTACTGTGTAAACTAATGTAAACTTATTATTTAGTCTACATCTTAATTTAATCAAATAATTTAATTTTTAAAATGTAGAAAAAATTTTTTTGGTAAATTGTTTAATAAATCATCAATTTAAAGGTTAGTATGAGGTTGATAAATTAAATTTTCTTATAATTGAACAATTTAAAAGAATGTATATTGATTTGGGAACTATGTGGTAGACAATGTTAATGGTTTAGCAACCAAAGGTTCTAACATGTTATGTCTTTTAGAGTTAGATTCTTAGGGTTAGATTCTAGATTTAGAATTATTTTGTTTTAATGATTCAAAATTGCATATTTAATGTTGAGTNTTTTAGAGTTAGATTCTTAGGGTTAGATTCTAGATTTAGAATTATTTTGTTTTAATGATTCAAAATTGCATATTTAATGTTGAGTAGTTTATATTTTGTATATATGATATTTGGTACAATGACTAAGATTTGTTTTATAATCAATCAAACGTTTAGGGTTTGAGATTTGGGGTTTAGGGTTTGAGATTTCTGGTTTAGGATATAGTAGACTTACAGTTAAGTCTACTTATATGAAGACGTCTATTTCAGTCTACGTTAATTTGTGTTTACCAAAATAATTTATTTTAAAATTAAAATTAATTAAGCAGGAAGTGAAAATGAATTTTGGAGCCTATTTTTCCATATTGGCGCCAATAATTAGGGTATAGTAGACTTACAGTAAAGTTACTTATATGCAGACTTCTATTTCAGTCTACATTAATTGGTGTTTATCAAAAAATAATTTAAAATTAAAATTAAAATTAACTTGACATATAAATACTCTTTCTTATTAAAAAAAGAGAAAACTAGAAGAAGAAAAAAGACACTTTTAACTAAGATTTGGGATAGTAGGATTTGTTGAAGATTATTTGAGTAACTAAGATTTATATTCTTTTTAATACTATTATGCCTTTTAATTTACATAATTTAAATTGAATTTTTGTAATAAATTAATTTATTTATAAAAAGAGGAAAAAGGTTAAAAAAACAAAATTAAAAAAATAGAAACGTGAAAAGGGTAAAACGGTGGGCTGCGTTTCACCTTTACCCTAATTTCACGAATCTCTCTTCTCCGCCAAACCTTCAAGCCCCATCAATGATGATAATGGCGATTTTGGGTGAGAGTCTTGTTTCTTACTCTTTTATCATCAGTTTTTCCTCTCTAGTCTCGTTTTCTCGTTCATTCTTTTTGTTCGCAGACACCAATCTAAATTTTTTTAGCTTCTTCTACGGGTTTCGTCAGACGGTCTTCTTGTTTATGTACGGATTTCGTCGGAGGGTCCCTTCACACAATGAAAAGATCCACACTTTCTTTATTTTTATTAGATTAGGATGTTAACATGTGCTTGCTTCTTGTCAAAACATGTTGTTATTCACGAGGCTGCTGAGGTGGAGCCAGAGCCAGTTGCTTCTATTGAGGAGGAAGACCATGAAAATTTTGCTGAAGTGTATGATCCTTCTGATAAAGATGAAGGCGTTGTTGTTGACGCTGAGCTAGTTAAGTCACAGTGAGATTCCATCAGTGCTTCAAGGAGATGATGCTCCTAAGTATTCCTATGCTTCAATCGTGAGTCTAATTTCTGTATATATGATTATCTCTCTTATTTTAGTAAATGTTACAAGTGTTGTCGTGTGTTTCAACAGATTAAACTGATGAAAAGCGATCCAGCACCAACACAAGTTGCTCGCGAAGAGCAGCTCCTAAATGTACAAACAATCTTCTCTAAAAGGTACCAATACACCTGTTGTGGTTTTGTGGAGTTTGAAAAGGCTAGCGGGAATGTCTCACCTGAATCTCTTTGTTTTAGGTTCAATTTAATACTTTGGATTTGTTTTCCTTAGTGCTTTACAAATTGTTAAGTTCTATTACTAGTTTGGTTTCTTTTGTTGGCTGAGAAGTTATAATCTTTTAATACAAGAAACTAAGATTCACTTAATATTGCAGAAGCTCAGCCAAAGAACGCCCCGATGGATTTGTTTGATAGCGATGATGATACGTGTAGTGTAAGCTCCTTCTTCAGCATGCGGTATGAGAGACCTCGCATGGATGAAGTTCACGTTCACAAAGATCTTATGTTGGATCAATCCCTTGATGCTCTCTATGAGAAAAGGTAGGGTTCCTTCTCTCCATCACTTTTTGTTTTGTTGTGATTTTACTTGATTTTTATGTGAAACTGATGGTATTTGAATTTCTTTACGGATGTAAAGGAGTTCAACGAGAGAGAAAGCTTTGGCCTCCATTGTCGAAGCATTCAAGAGTGATTTGCAACATGAGTTCTTGCAAAAGAAGTAACCATCTCATACTCTATTTCTTCTTCAACAATCTTAGTTAATTCCTATGTATTGGTGTGACACCTGATTGTTATCTAATGTATATTCTCAACGTTGTTGCAGCTTTTCCACTTTGTTGCATCAGTGTTTACACTGCATCAAGAAAAGTCCCACTAAAGAGTCCTCACTAGCATCACATGTTATTGGTTAGTTACCAAGAAACAATCAACTTATGCATCATCTTTCAACTTTTTATTTATTGAGCTATATACTAACAGTTATTGTTGCGTTTACAAGGTTGATAGCTTTGACTGTTGGACTTGGGAATCAAGCACAAGAGATTCTGGAATAATCTGTCACTCCTCTTTCTCAAGCCCTTAAATCTGGTCGTGAAGCCTTGAGGATAAGTTCGGTATGGATGATTCCATAAAAGTGTAGCTATTTATTCTGTTAAAAAAATTCTATATGCTTGCTGATATCCTGCCACTTCGCTGTAGATTCTTGAGTGTTTAGCAGTGATAAACTTTTGTTGGTGGAGCCAATGCAGAGCAAACCGAGAGATCTATGCAAATAATATGGCAGATGATTCACCCTAAACTAGTTTCTAATGTATGTATCTTACTCTTTTTCTCATAATATGGCATTTTTTAATTTCTAATATGGTTTATTAAGAAAGTAGTTCATTTCATCTAAAGATATGTAGTAGGCTAACATGTAACTTGACTTTTTGGGTAGGTTGTTGCAACCAAACCTTCACCTGATGTAATAACAACTGTTGTCTCTTCTTGGGCGTATAGCTGCTGGTGAAGCTCTTGCTCTTTTATTTGAGATGGGAACTCTAGAGAAGTTTGATGCGTAAGCCAAAGGGTCTGATAATGGATCAGTGGCAGAAGGAAGTGTGTCTGAGGAGGCATTGATAAAGATGCATAAATTGATATCTAAAGTCACTAATCAATTTAGTGACCTCGCTGCAGAGGCAGGTGGTAAAGGTTGTGCTAAGAAAGATCTCAACGAACAACAAAGTTTGTTCAAAGATCTTGTTGAATTTCTTGAGGTATATTTTTAACTTTTTATGATATATATATGTATGATTATGGTTCGGATTCTTATATATGATTTTTTTCCACTTATGATTAGGGTGGAGTTGCACCTGAAACCTCTACAAAGGTTGGAGGAGCCTATATACAGACGACAACGTGGTGCCAGATGATGGGGAGATTGCAAAGCTTGGAGTGAGAAGAAGAATGTGGGGAGCAGTGAAGAAGATGGAACTTCAATTTTGTTTGAAACTTCAATTTTGTTTAAGAGATCCAAAATGGGGTTGTGGGATAATCATGCTTTTATAAAAAAAAATTATTGGTTATCCCACTGCTTCTTGTCAAGTATAAAGTAGTATATAAGTCTACTTGACAGACCATTCTTGATACTTACTAGTCTTCTTTTTTGTAGACTTACAAAAAAGTCTACTTAACAGAGAAAAATATAACATAAGTTTATCACATTAGACAACATCCAAAGCAACAATATAGTTTATAAGTTCAACACAGACTAAAGACTTACAAATCCAATAGATGACAACTCAAAGCAATGAGACACTAATACATAATAGAACATCTATAGCAATAAGAGAACTCATAAGTTCGACACATAACACTAACACATCTAGAGTTTTTCACCACCCATTCTCTGTATACAACGAGTAATTGAGCCATCTCCTGCAAAAAAAAAAAAACGGTTTACATAATTAGCAAACAAAAATTTCATGTTTGATAAAATTATAAAATAGACTTACAAGTACATCTACAATTATTAGCAAACAATATAGTTAAACCAAAAATTATATCATAGACTTACAAGTACGTCTACAAATTTTAAGCTAACAACATAGACAAACAAAAAACTTGATAACTTCCTAATTATAACAGATTATCTTCTGAAAATCATTCAAGACCCTTATGATTAACTAACACACACTTTCATAAAAAAAAAAAATTGAAAAAACTTAATGAAAAATACACAAATCCACTTTTGATAGATTTTACATGGTAGACTACATATTCAATTTACAGACGTGTAGACGTTTTATTCAGTTTACAGGTTCTAGACTGAACATTAGGTCTACGTTTAGGTTGGTTTCTGCAATTGTCAAATTCATGGGTTACTTTCTGTATTTGAAAAAAGTGTGATTTTATACGAGTAGACTTACTTTTTAGTCTACATTTCTTAAAAGGTTGGTTTTGCAATTGACCAGAATCCGATCAGAGTTTGACTTTTAGAAGTAGACCTATTATGCAGTCTACACTTTTAAATTTGTTTGAAAGAGGTTAGTTTTGCAATTGACCAAAGTTGACTTTCTACGAGTAGACAAAACTAAATGTCTACGTAACTGTAGACTGCAGTAAAAGTCTACATTATAACCCGACAGGTTAGTTTTGCAATTGACCAACACAAAATAGTAGACTTCTTATGCAGTCTACTTTTTTTTTTAAGTTTTGTAGACTGCATATTAAGTCTACACGTAAAGTAAGTTATTTTCTTAGTTTTGTAGACTACATATGAAGTCTGCACGTAAAGTAAGTTTTAGCCAAATACAAAAGAAACCTATTCAACGAAGTTAAAGTTTTGGTCAAATGCAAAAGTGACCTTCCATAGACTTACCTAGCAGTCTACAAAGTGTAGACCTCCACGAAAGTCTACTATGGTAAGTCAAAATTTTGGTCAAATGCAAATCTAACCTGTTTTATGTAGATTTCTTAGTAAGTCTACCAATTTTTTTGTTTTTGGTTTCAAAGGTAAAGATGTTGACGTACTTGTAGGTCATGTAATGTTTTTTTTAATAAAACCAGTTTTGCAAAAGTAACCTGTGCGTTGACAAGTAGACTGCATCGTAAGTCTACACGTATGTGTAGACATATAATACAGTCTACTTTCGCGATACAGATCAGAGATATGACGAAAAGCATGTAAAGAGTTACCTTGACACCGGTTTAAAGCTTGTTTCCAAGCTTTTCCACCGTCTAGAATCCAAATATGAGCAAAAGAAGCAACCTTTATGATCCACTTGTGGATAAAATCGAAACTATGAAGTTTGTGTTTATGAAAATGAGAGTTATGAGGATTGTTTAGATGAAAATAGAGAGGAAATGAGAGGAAATGAAGTATTGTTTGTTTAGAAAGTGAAATAAGTGGTTGAAATTTCATAAACACAAGCTTAAAGAGCTCATCAATGGTGGTTTTGGGTGGTTGCAAACATTGATGACAATGGCATTATGGTAAATAAGGAGAAATGTTTAGGGTGTAATAGGTTTTTTATAATTTTCGAAAATAAAATCAGATTTAAAAATAATGGCAATTTGCTTAATAGGTGGAAACATGAGGAGAGTTTAGGTTTTTTAAGAGTGAATAGTAATGACAAAAAAAAAGAGGTTGGTTTTGTGTTTGACTTGAAATTTTGGGTTGGTTTTGCAAAAAACCCCAAAAGAAAATTGGGTTTTTATTGGGCTTGAAAATGTAAATAAAATTAAATCACATTTTCAATTTCACTCTAGTCGTAGTCTTTAAAATATTTATGAAAAAAATTCTCTAATACGTTACTGTTTGATTTTACATCAACACAGAATAATAATCAAAAGATAAAAGTAAAAAACATATATAAGTAAGATAAGCTTATGAATTTTATCTAATAAATTATGAAAACCGATGCTTAAGCTTAAAAAAAAAAAATTGTAGGGATATATTACATCGATTGATTATTCTGTTTCGAAATACTTAGACGACTTCATGTTTGAATAATGAAAATTTTATTTTAAATTTTCAAAAAAGGGTTTAATAAAAAACAATTTACTTCTTCTCCAAATTATTGGAGAAACTAATTATTTAATAATAACTCAGTATGAGTTTAAACAAAACTACAATTATAACAAAATAAGTAAAATGAGATTTAAATTATAAATAGAATAATTATTGAAAAGTAAAATTTCTATTCATAAAGTTTATATATATATATATAAATATATTTTATATATATATATATATATATATATATATATATATATATATATATATATATATATATATATATATATATATATATATATATATATATATTAATTATGGTTGGTGGCTAATTATTGTAGCTACGTTGTAACTAGTTGTAACATAGAAAAACGTTAATAGGTTGGTAAAAATTAGTTAAACCAAACATAGTTACAATGATGTCACAAATTTTGTGATGCATATTTCCGTCACATTAATGTTACTAATAGTAACAAACTTTTGTTACAACTTAGATCGTCATGATATTGAGACGAAACTGCAACAAAAATGTGACATACTAAAATAGTTACAATAACGTATCTGATGTCTCACAAATTTATTACTAATCATTTTTGTCATAAAATTCTGTCACAATATCTCAATTTTCTTGTAGTGTGAGGACTTGAATGCTGAAGCTTCCTCTTCTCAACAACAAGGGCCTCAGCTTGAAGATGTTCCACCCCCTCCGTGCACTCCTGAAGCATTTCAGGTGCTCGCCCTCCACTATCTCCTACTCGAATGGTGTCTCCATGCTTCCTCATAAAACCTTAGAAGCTACTCCCACTAAGAAACCTAACTCAGAGTGGAACCAACAAGATTCAGCACCTCTGAACTTGCGGTCAATCGGACACAGGAAAGACTCGTCTAGCAGAATGCTTCTGTTGTGTAAAAATGTGAATCAACTCGAAGAAAAAAAAAGAGAGCAAAAAGAATTGAGGCAAATACCCGTTTAGGATTTTTATATTATTAAGTGAATGAATAAGTTTACAATTCTTTAGATCCATATTTATATCAGCCTCAAAAAATCGATTTCTTTTTCCCTACAAGAATGCATACTTATCTATAGGAATGTATACCGTACCTTGTTTCAACACACTCATGGCTGGCTACGAGTAGCAAAAAGGTGAGTACTTTGTTTGATTGCTAAGGTCAAAACTTGTGAGGTCTATGAGTAAAAAAAAAAGTAAACAGTTTGATTGCTAAGGTGAATGAGAACATTGAAAACTTGAGAGGTTTATTTTTGTTCTGATTCACTGAATATTGTAGAATGAGATGGATGCTATGAAAGTTAGGGTATTGTGAGTATTGGAACTTCGACTTTGACATGCATTAATTTTGGATTATAGATGTTTACTTCCGGTTAAAGTATCTTAATTGTCAATTGAATGTTGATTTCTGGAAGCTCGGTTTATTATCTCTAGAATAGCTTTTGTTATGGCTAGGCTAAATACGATTCATTAACTTCTAATTTGATTCCGGATGTTTTAGACTTTCACTACTCCAAACATATGGATTTAGCAGTTGAATCTTTCAGGTTGGACAAAGGATATGATGACATTACAGAGGAGATGTTTGATGTGACCTTGTATTTGACTGGGAGAAAATCATCTTTGAGAAAGATTGGTAATTTTTATTTTCTCATACTAGAGTCCACCTACTAAAAGTGAACAAATTTTCTACAAAACCAAGAGACACAAAAAAGTAAAACAATATATTAAAGACAGTGTTGATTACAAGGCATAAATGCAAAAAGAAGACAACAAGTATAAAGCTTTCAAGAATAAAGAACTGGAACAATCATTAGTATCTTAAAACCCTAAAATAATGAAAATCCTATACGGTAATAATATATCTTAAAAGATTAGAGATTCTAATTAAATCAATCTCAATTTAACATTTTCCATTAAATCTAACATACATAACCTCCTTCTATAATATTTGGTCTAACAAGGACTAAGGTTAACAATTTAATATTATATAAGCCTCCCCCCACCCCATCCCACCCCCTCCCTCCCCAACATATCTAACACTTTTGTTATAAAAGTGGTGTAACACAATAATCAATTTTTTGAATTCAATCATAAACAAATTCACTGCTTAGTTTTGAAAATGAAACCCAAAAAGATCTAGATTTCTATTTACAAAAAGATCATAAATTTTTTTGAATTGCAATCGTAAACAAGTCCACTGGTTAGAAGTCAACGATAAAGAGATTTTCAGTCTTTTTATATGCATAAAAATATAAACGAGTGATGACAAGAAGAATGACCTTGAAACCCTTGGTTGTGGAACAAAGCAACTGCAATAAAACTGCCAGGAGGGGTAGTTTAATCCGATAATACACAGAGAAAAGCAGCTCTATATGAGAAAGTTAATAGAGTTTTAAGGTATTCATGTGGATGGTAGGTTATAAGGGTCTTCATAAACTGAAATAAATTTTAGGGTTGTGATGTTTTGCAAAGACACGACACATGTCGCAATTGAAATTTTCAAACATTTTGGCAAAATTTTAAGCGGTTTCTGTAAATTTTAAGCTTTTATCTCGTGGGTTACCTACTTTTTTGTTTGTAGAACTTGGA